AAAAAGAGAGAGAAAGAGAGAAGGAAGAGCCATCAAGATGGCTTGGTGGGTAAAGGCACTTGTCAAAACTAAATCTGATAACCTGAGTTTTTCAGTTTCTGGGACCCACATGGTAAGAGAGAGCCAACTCCCACAAGTTGTCCTCTGACCTCTACATGCACACTATAGATGCACACACACAGACATGCACACACATACAAATTAAATGAAAAATGTTAAAAACTTAAACAAACGACTTTAGAAATAATTATAATTTTATGCAAGTATTAAGAGTAAAAACATGAAAGCAACAGAGTAAAGTTTTGTTCAAAATATGGCCAATAATTGGAAATTTGAAATAACAATTAATGAAATGTTTGAAATGAATCAAGTCCTTTGGTACAAATTTATTTATACTAACACAGGGTAATTTATTTCTTCAGTTTCATTTTAGAGTCCCTGTTGGATGTTGGCAGAAATTAATACACTCTTTTAAAAATATTTTATTTATTAATTTTATTTTCTGTGTATGAATGTATTGTCTGCATGTATGTAAGTGCACCCATGCCGTACAATGCCCACGAAGGTCATAAGAGAATGTAGGATTCCCTGGAACTGGAGTTACAGGCAGTTTTTATCCGCCATGTGGGTGCTGAGAATTGAAACCAAGTCCTCTACAAGAGCAGCCAGTGCTCTTAACCACTGAGCCATCTCTCCAGCCCCTTAACATACTTCTTTAAACCACTAAGATTTGTACATAGAAACAACTACTCACCTGTGTTGTCCATGTGTTCTGGGTTAACACTGGAATGTAATTTGCTCTCTCTTCTGTTCAAAGATGAACTTCTTTTAGTTTCTGTTTTTCCTAAACATCAAGGGCAAAAGAATATTACTTTCCTAAAACTACTTAAACATATGATTTCAGGAGTGACTTGCTCATTTTATTAAACATTTAAAAATCTTTTCTACTCTGATTTATAAGAATTTATTTAATTTCAAATATTAATGAGGCTGTAACCCCAAACTTAAAAGTAACATAACTTGTTATGTTACTTAAGGTGAAAATCATGTTAGTTAGGAAATGATGAAAATTCATAGGGAAGATGTCTAACACTAACAACATCAACCTTCCTATACTGGGAATACGTAGCCTTCAAATTAGACACAATACATGATTATAATCAATGCCAAAAGTATTAGCTAATTCAATTATAACTATTTTTAAACAAAATAGGCATTCATATTTAGTATAGGTGTCAAAAATTAGGAAACTCAACCATTCACAAGTGAAAACAATTTGCTTTGTGTGGACACTCTTCAACTTTATTTGCAATATTCCAAATCAGGATACTGAGGGATGTCTGCTTAAAAAAAATTCTTTTTGTGTACCTATAAATTAAAAGTACATATTGACTATACAATATTATGTGAAGATTACTTGAATTGATACTGTGACCAGGATAATCATAGAGGTGCAAACCATTCAATCATGTTATTAAGTTATGTAATTTGGGGGCTGGAGAGATGGCTCAGTGGTAAAGAGCACTGACTGCTCTTGCAGAGGACCCGAGTTCGATTCCCAGCACCAACATGGCAGCTATGAACCGTCCTTAACACCACTTCCAGGGGAATCCGACACCCTCTTCCGACTTCCACGGCATTGCATGACATGGGTGCACTCACATACATGCAGGCAATATATTCACACATAAAATAAAAATAATAAAATATTTTTTAAAAAGTTATGTATTATTTTTTTCATCAGTATACTTCATGAAATAACAAGAGTGTCAACAGTTATTAGAAATCAGCAGTGATGGAAAAAATAAACTATTCACACAACCAAATTTTGAAACAGGGTTACTTAAAGCATTATATACTAGACTAAGAACTGTATTTGGTCTAGAAATATTTATCTCTCTGATTGAGCATATTTAAAATTCAGGAGATTTTGTAGAATCGTGAATTACAGCACTCCTCACTTCAGAGTGTGTAATACACCACACTATTTTTTTAAGCTTTGTGGTACTGGGAACAAAACCCAAGGCTTCACAATGTTAGGCAAGTGCTCTACCATTGACCCACATCCCAAGTCCCAAACTATAACAAGTTATTCCACAAAGCATCATACATACATACTTCCATTAGAAAGTAGTAAAGAAATCATCTAAAAATCAATTGGAATTGCTTTCAGTACAATTTAATTACTGTGTAACTATTACTTGCCCTTTCTGTTTACATGTCTCATAACTATGATGAATAGATATATTAATAAAAACATACTGTTTTGCTCATTATATTAAATCTGTTAGTTCCTAAAAACAATTAGATAGCAAAACAATCAACTCTTGTGTAAAAATTATGATATATTAAAATGAAACACATTCACATGATATTGCAATAAATAAGTTTTCTAAAGGAAGTAGTTAATTATAAATTATTTTTCCTGTTGGGCAAGGAAAGTGTGAGGAAAATCAAAACTAAGTCTACAAACAAAATTACTTAGCTTAGTACTACATTAGACTATTGGAAGAGAAAATGTGTTTAGACAGGCAACAAATAATGGTTTAATAAAAAATAGAAGCTTTTGAGTTGGGCGTGGTGGCGCACACCTTTAATCCCAGCACTCGGGAGGCAGAGGCAGGCAGATCTCTGTGAGATGGAAGTCAACTTGGTCTACATAAGTCAGCTGGAGGCTACAGGGAGACTCTGTCTCAAAAAACCCCCAAAGGAAACGTTTTCATAATGTTAAGCACTGTTATAATGAATTATACTTTAAATGGTATCACACAACATCTTTAAATTCAAACTATAATTTTGTCTTTTCCAATTCACAAATCACTAAACTGATACTCTGCCTCATCATTTTTTGAAGGCAGGGTCTCCTCTCTTTTGCCTAGGCTGGTCCCAAAGTCTTGGGCTCAAGCAATTCTCCTGCCTCTGCCTCCAGAAGAGCCATGACTATAGGCACATGCCAACACATTACATTGTTTATTTTACTGGCTAATTTTTGAAAATATTTTATTATGTTTATTTGATATATATAAGTGTGTTGCCTGCATACATGTAAGTGTGTCTGTGTCCTGTAGTGCCCACAAAAATCAAATCCCCTGGGAGTAGAGTTACAGATGGCTGTTAGCCACCATGTAGGTACTGGGAACTGAACCCAAGTCCTCTGCAAGAGCATCCAGTGCTCTTAACCACTGCGCCATCTCTCCAGCCCTTTTACTGGCTAAGTCTGAAGAAATGATGTGAAATTTCTTTTCCTTGTGTTTTACCTGTCAAGGCCTCATTTTTTTTCCATCTGGGAAGAAAAAAGATTTCTCCCCTAGAGTGATGGGTGTATTTTCCCAATACGTTTCATTTATCAGTGAGAAAGGCCACATGCTACAGTCTAAAAATGGCCATTGACACACATTCAGTGGTGTGTGTGTGTACATTTAATGAGAAATATTAAATGGGGATACATGAACATTTTAAAAGCATATTAAGGTGGTACTGTTACATTTTCAACATTTTCATTTACTATTACTGTGTGTGTTTGATGAGTGTGTGTATGCTTTCACAGTGCGGAGCTCAGAGAACAAGTTGCAGGAGTCAGTTCTCTACTTCCACATTTATGGGCATTCTGAGAATTAAACTCAGGTTGTTTGAGGGGCAAGTGCTTACCCACCATCTCTCTGGCCCAATAATGCTTTTTCTTTTTGTAATATATTATTTAAAAAACTATCCTATTGAATGTTTGAGAACGTCATACATTATATTTTGGTCATATTTAGACCTCTTCCTTATTTATACTTCCCCTTACAACTCTCTGTCAAATGTCATGCACTCCATTACATATGATTTTCACTATGTAGCACTGGCTGGCCTGGAAATCATGCTGTAGTCCAGGCTGGACTTAAACTCACAAATATCTGCCTGCCTCTACCTCCTGAGTGCTGGGATTAAAAGCATATGTTACCATTCTTAGTAATAATGTAATTTTCAAAAGAGCAACATATATTGTCACCATGAAGAAGTGTGTAATGGAGCTTGGTAATACAGTCATCCATCGTTAAACATTGTTTTGGGGAAGCATAGACTTTTAAGGAACAGATATTTTATTTGGAGTTATTTTTACTTATTTTCTATGTGTGTTTTGATTGCATGTAAGTGTACCCGTGTCTTACAGTGCCTGCAGAGGCCAAAAGAGGGTGTCAGATTCCCTAGAACTGGAGTTAAGGACTGTTTGTTGTTAGCAACCAAGTGGGTGCTGGGAACTGAACTCAGATCCTCTGCAAGAGCAGCTAGTACTCTTAACCGCTCAGCCATCTTTCCAGTCCCCTAAAAGGTATAATTTAAAATATTATGATCTATCTAACCAAATGATTAAAATATGTCATTAAAAGAATGTTAAAATAGAGATCACTGAATTTCCTGAGTTCTTACCTATATACTAAGGAAGATTATTAAACTTACCTGTTAATTTCACAAATTTATTGTTAAATGATACATGTAGAACATATCAACCTAGCATATGCTGTTATTTCTTTAAATGAGGTAATACTCATAATTTAATGGAAATTGAATAGCTAATCTAACCACACCTCAGAAAATATCATCTCACTTATAGGTTAGCTAAAACATAAATTAATTGAAAAGTAACTTAAAAGAAAATCATGTCACTGGGTGTGGTGGTGCACGCCTTTAATCCCAGAGGCAGAGGCAGGCAGATCTGTGTGAGTTCAAGGTCAGCCTTGTCTACAAAATGAGTTCTAGGCCAGCTGGGGATATAGGAAGACCCTGTCTCAAAAAGACGAAAAAAAAAATTAAATCATGTCATTTAATGACAGTGCCTTCTGGGCAAAATGTTTGAGCTTTTTGAGCTGATTAGCACAGAAATCATGAAACAAGGATTTATATTGATAGAAATACAAAGCAATAGTGACCATTTCAAGATGTCGTAAAATAACATAATACTCTTCTGAAATAAGTCAAAATGGTCCACTGTTGAAATAAATGGTACTGATCTGGGTGTGGTGGTGCACAACAGCACTTAGGCAGAAGCAGGAAATCACAAGTTTGGGGCTAGCCTGAACTACATAGTAAGTATAAGACTAGCCTGGACTACATGGCAGGACTGTCTTCAATAATCTGTGTCTCAAAAAAAAAGAAAACCTGCTTTCCAACTGTGGATTCGATGAGACCACCTAATTCGAGCTCCCAGTGTCTTGACTCCCCTCCCATGATGGATTTCATCTTGAACTGTCAATTAAAACAAGCCTCTTCTCTCTTAAAATATAATATATAAAAATGAAAAATCTCAGCCAGTGAGATAATTCAGTGTGTAAAGGGGCCTGCCATGAGGCCTGAAGACCTCACCTGAGTTTGAGTCCTGAGATCCAAGTTGTCCTTTGACCTCCACACATGCACCACAGCACATGCACGCACACACACACACACACACACACACACACACACACACAC